CATAGTAATCATAAAAGAATTTCTCCATGCTTTATTTTTTCACATTCAGAGATTACATTGATATTTCTACCATAATAACCAGTTTTCTATTAACGGACCTCTGGATTGTTCTTTTGCTTTTAGAAACAATGATCTGGCAGAAACCTTGCACATTTACTATTTTGCTGATGTGTAAATACACTTCTAGGATAAATTACTAAAAATTGGTTTTCTGGATTAGAATTTGTCTGTCCTTGTAATTTTCAGAAAATGACACTGCCAGGCAGCCCTGCCTGTGGATCATAGCAGTTCACAAATCTGCCAAGTATATTTCCCCATATTATTCTCAATAGTTATTTTAAAATTTTAGGACTTTTGACAATATGTTAGTGTTAAAATGGCATTTCAGGCCAGGCATGGTGGTTCACGAAGCCTATAATCCCAGCACTTTGGAAGGCCGAAGTGGGTGGATCACTTGAAGTCAGGAGTTTGAGACCAGCCTGGCCAACATGGTGAAACCCTGTCTCTACTAAAAATACAGAAATTAGCCGGGTGTGGTGGCGCATGCCTGTAATCCAGCTACTTGGGAGGCTGAGGCAGGAGAATTGTTTGAACAGGGGAGACAGAGGTTGCAGTGAGCCGAGGTCGCACCATTGCACTCCAGTCTGGGTGACAGAGCGAGACTTTGTCTCAAAAAATGGCATTTCAGTGGGGTTTTAATTTTTATTTTTCTTATACTTAACATTGTACATCTTTTCATAGTTTCAAAAAACTTTGTATCTCTTTTCTATAAAGTCTGTTCACATTGTTTTGGTCATTTTCCCAGTGGATTATTGGCCTTTGTAGCAGTTACTGATTTGTGGTAGTAATTTATAGACTAAGCTTTTTGTCTTTGGTATGAGGGTCAAGTAGTTCTTCTGTTTGTCATTTGCCTTTTGACTTTTATTATAGTGTTTTGTCTTATTTTGTTTTCTGCCACGTTGAAGTTTTTTATTTTTCTTTAGTCAAACTTATCTTTTGTGGCCTCTTGACCTTGTAACAGTTAGAAAGGCCTTCCCCACAGCAAGGTTATGTATTTCACGGTATTTTAATGCTCTCAGTTATAGTACTGTTGAAATCCGAAGTAACCTCTCCACAGAGAGGAGGCTATGTTGCCTTAGGTAGGAGACTTATTTCTGGCCCTGAGTCTGGTTCCATGGGTCTCCTCGGCCTTGTTGGAAATCTGGGTCACTGTTAGAACTAAATCAGGTTAATCTCACATCCTCCATAAAGTGGTTCTTTATAGGGAAAGGAAGGAAAGGGAGTCATTGAATGATCTTCTGGCTCTTATCCCATCTCACAGCAACCTTTATTCCAAAGATAGACTGGTAGAAGAGGTTTTTGTCCTATTGCATGGAGAGCTAGTGGTTGGAAGACAGAGTCCCTTTGGTCTCTAGGGAAGGGAAACCAAACTTAAAGGACCATTTCTTTCCACTGATCATTTGTGCATGTGCCACTTAGACTGCTTTTCCACAGGGTCAGGCTCCCTGAATCTGAGGAATCTAAAACTGTCCTCCATCACAATGAGAACTTGGGAGTCTTGTCCACATTTCAGCAGCACAACCCTGTGGACTTTTTTCAGAATGAAGTGCTAGTTAGTGGTCTGTCTTTGCTAAACCTTGTATTTTCAAAATGGGTATGAAAAAATGTTTGCTTAGCACAATTCCCACCCACCCTCTCCCCTTAGGAATAGCCAGGCCAGAGGAAGGAAGGCCTGCTGTGAGTGGGACCGGAAATGACATCACCACCCCGCCAAACAAGGAGCTCCCACCAAGCCCAGAGAAGAAAACAAAGGTAGGTGCCAGAATGGTGGTTATCTTCTACTGCCATAATTTTTAAACAAGAGTATCTTCTGCTATTATTGCTTGAATCACGAATGAAATTTCTTTTTTCTGAGCTATTATTGTCCTTCCTCATGTTTGGTAGAAAATATCTTGTATTCTCATTTACCATAGTGGCCTAAACCAACTTTAAAATCTCAGCCTTTGACCCTATTATCTTATATATCTGTAAAAAATGTTCTGTAGAGGTCGGGCGTGGTGGCTCATGCCTGTAATCCCAGCACTTTGGGAGGCCGAGGCAGGCGGATCACGAGATTAGGAGATGGAGACCATCCTGGTCAACATGGTGAAATCCCGTCTCTACTAAAAATACTAAAATTAGCTGGGCGTGGTGATGCATGCCTGTAACAGCTACTCAGGAGGCTGAGGCAGGAGAATCACTTGAACCAAGGAGCTGGAGGTTGCAGTGAGCCAAGATCATGCCACTGCACTGCTCTCCATCTCAAAAAAAAAAAGTTCTATAGAGATTGTTTCTGCTTCCCTTAACAACAACCAAAAGGACAATCGCAAAAATATTCTGAAATTCCGAATTGTTTGCTATTATCTCAGTGTTACATGAAAGAAAAAAAAGATTCTGAAATCTCCATTCACGAAAAGAGAATGCAGATTTTGAAGGTGGATCATATAGCTTCAGGTGCATAACTAGTACTTATTGCAAAGTTCAAAAGCCACACTGTAGGCTGTGGCTGTTGTTGTCCCATCAAGGTACAGGTAGTTTCAGCATGTTGTCCAGGGTCTTCAAAAAATTAAAAAGTTATTTAAAAAAATACAGCTAATAATGGCTCAATCATCTCCTGATGCTTTTCTTCTAGAATTATTTTAGCCACCAAAAGTTAGTTAATTATTAAGAGTTAAGTAATTGTTTTACTGAATTAAATCTTCAGGTGCCAAACTGCCAGAATTTGTGCCACTAACATTAAGAAACTATTCCCAGGCCAGGCGCAGTGGCTCACGCCTGTAATCCCAGCACTTTGGGAGGCCGAGGCAGGCAGATCACAAGGTCAGGAGATGAGACCATTGACACCTTGAAACCCCGTCTCTACTAAAAATACAAAAAATTAGCTGGGCGTGGTGGCACATGCCGGTAGTCCCAGCTACTTGGGAGACTGAGTCAGGAGAATCGCCTGAACCTGGGAGTCGGAGCTTGCAGTGAGCTGACATCACCACTGCACTCCAGACTGGGTGACAGAGCGAGACTCCGTCTCAAAAAAAAAAAAAAGAAACTATTCCCCACTCACTTTCTCTATCCTGATCTCATTCCATTATTTGTTGAGCTCAGAAGAAAGAAATGCTAATTTTAAGTTGCATCTATCCTCATTGCTTATAATTTTACTTTGAATTGTGCAATTTATACTTTTTTAATTTGTTTTTATTCTTTTCTGTGTGTTTGATGTTGCCCTTTAAAAAATAAAAATAAAAAATAAAAAAAACAACAATCAACCTAAAGCCTTTGGCCACCACTCAACCTGCAAAGACTTCAACATCGAAAGCCAAAACACAGCCCACTTCTCTCCCTAAGCAGCCAGCTCCCACCACCAGTGGTGGGTTGAATAAAAAACCCATGAGCCTTGCTTCAGGCTTAGTACCAGCTGCCCCACCCAAACGCCCTGCCGTCGCCTCTGCCAGGCCTTCCATCTTACCTTCAAAAGACGTGAAGCCAAAGGTAAGTGGTCACCTAACTACTGTGCCGAGGAAAATTGTTCCCCTCTGAGTGACAAATAGACAGACTCTTGTTGCTAACAGGCAACAGAATCAGGCTGGTGGAATTGGGAGAAGGCAAGGGAAATGGGGGAGAGGGTGATCTGAAAATTGGCATGGCTACTCTGGGTGCACTGCCTATGGGTTACCCCTGCTCCACAAAGAGCAGCCAAAAAAAGAAAAAAGAAAAGGAAATCAATTTGGGGCCCATTGATGCAACCATTAACATTTTGAAGCCCTTTTATGCTTTTACCTTTCCCTGCCCTGTTTGGAGGTAATACTCCATCTACTTAGGTTCCTCCTCCTTTCTCTTAACTACCTACTCTTTACCTATTTAAGCACTTATTAACCAGTTTCCTCTACTCCACATACCAATTAGATATTCTTTCTTGGTATAATTCCCACATCAAATGTAATTCTTTGTCTTTCCATTATCCTGTGGAAGTTTTATCCGTTACTATTGTGATATAACTAGCTCTTCCCGCTTATCTCAGCATGTTCCAGCATGATGTGATAACTTACTTTGCTTTGGGCATTAGGCCACCTCTCACTGAGCTACTTCTGAAGTCATCCAGTTTTCCAGGTCACCCACGGTTTCTGTATTGCCCAGAAACCAGTCACATTTGGAGCAGCGTTTGGAGCACATAGCGTTACAGAATTGCTCCAGGAGGAGAGGATAGTGGAGGCTATGGCTGCCTTTCTTAACATCTTGTCTTATTTGAGAAGGGCCTTTAGGTCAGCCTGATAGTACTCTTTAAATTCATGGTACAAAATAGTTTCCCATGTTAAAGTGTCAGTTTTTAATTTAATATTGTGAAGAAAACTGTGGAACCTAGGAGTTGAAGTCTAGGCTGAAACCCTGGCCAAGAAACTGAGAAATCCTCTCATCAACTAGTAACGATAAAATCTTATAAAGCTTTCTCTCTGATCCTCATTTATCCAGTCGGTTGCTTTTCTTGATCTTTAGAAAACAATAGGTTTGAATAAGAGGGCAGAGGGGAGGTGCCTGGAGTCCTGGCCGCAGGTCCTCCCTGATGCTTATTCAGCAGCAGCAGGGGGTGACAGAGGAGAGCGTAGGAAGGAGAGGTGTCTAGTGAAATTTCACTCTATAATAAATCATATAAATGAAATGTACTGTACTAGTTGCTTTATATACATGAACTTTTTAAAAATTTTTATTTTTTTGAGATGGAGCCTTGCTCTGTCACCCAGGCTAGAGTGCAGTGGCACACTCTGGGCTCACTGCAACCTCCGGCTTCCAGGTTCAAGCAATTCTCATGCCTCAGCCTCCTGAGAAGCTGGGATTACAGGCACCCACAACCTTGCCTGGCTAATTTTTGTATTTTTAGTAGAGATGGGATTTTGCCATGTTGGCCAGGCTGGTTTCAAATTCCTGACCTCAGGTGATCCTTCCACCTCAGCCTCCTAAAGTGCTGGGATTACAGGTGTGAGCCACCGCGCCTGGCCTGTATACATTAACTCTTAATTCTCTCAATCATCCATGACGTAGGTATCAGTATTTTCATTTTATAGGTGAGGAAGCTTAAGCTCAGTTAAATAAACTTCCTAAAGTCCAGGGCTAGTAAATGGCAGAACCAGTATCTGAGGCTGGAGCTGACTCCAGTGCTGAGGCCCAGGGCTATCACTTCTTTTATGGCCTTTTGCCATTCAGCTTTTAGACAGCATTTCAAGATATAGCTGACCTAAACGGGTGATCTGCATTGTAATTATTAATGTTTGTCTTTTAGATAAGAAACAGATTGATAAAATCTAGCCAGGGATGTAAAGCTGGTCCTCTGTTCTAATGTCTTTTCTTTTCTTTTCTTTTTTTTTTTTTTTTTGAGATGGAGTTTCACTCTTGTTGCCCAGGCTGGACCGCCTCCCGGGTTCAAGTGACTCTCCTCCCTCAGCTTCTTGAGTAGCTGGGATTACAGGCACCTGCCACCATGCCTGGCTAATTTTTTGTATTTTTAGTAGCGCTGGGGTTTCGCCACATTGGGCAGACTGGTCTCAAACTCCTGACCTCAAGTGATCCGCCTGCCTCGGCCTCCCAAAGTGCTGGGATTACAGGCGTAAGCCACCGCGCCAGTCCTGTTCTAATCTCTTTTATCCAGATGAGGAAATAAAGCTCAGAGAGGCCCAGCAATTTGCCCAATAACACTCTTAGAATTAAGGGGCCAAACCAGGAATACAGCTCGGGCTTCTAACCCAGATTTGGCTAGTGGCCTCTTCATCTGCACTTTATTTTGGTAGAAAGATTTGTAGAGACAGAGAAAAACCTATACAGAAAAAAATAAGTAGATTATGATTCTGGCAAAGAAGAAAATGTAAATTGGGAAACAACAGAATAGCTCCAGTTAACTTCTGCAGGTCGTTGAAACCAGGAGCCTGACATCTAAAAGATGCAACATCCTTTTGAGATTTCTATCCCACATAACTTTTTTCTAACTTATTTTATCATTATTACCCTTACTGGCAAAATAATAAGACTATGCTAGATTATTCTGAATAATAGTCATAGTGTTAAAAATTTGATGCACTTCCCAGAGAGCATCTGGTTTAGTCCTCAAATTTTAGAGCGATAGGAAAGGGAACCCCTCTGCCCAAAATCCTACATGTTTCCAGCAGAGCTGGAAGCAGAACCACGTCCCCTGATTCCAGCCTTAGAGTTCTTCACACCGTACTTAGGGCCTTTATTTGTGGAAATCGTCATTACCCTACATTTGCAGAGTTACACTTTATTTGATTGGATGCCAGCCCTTAATTTCTAAGTACTTCCTTAGCTGATTTTTCCATTTAACGATATCCTGCTTGTCTCTACCTCCATACTGCCCTCTTTATAGCCACTTCTCTTGGAGCAAGAGAGCTGAGCCCACTGTGTCTGTGATTTGGCGTACTCTCTTTTGTAATGTGGTAATTTGTTTATCAAAATAGTGTCTTCATCCCCTATCCCCATAGAAACCAGGCTAAATTGATTGTTTCCCTTCTTCACTAGAGACGTCATTCCCAGCCTCCATGTAAAAGGAGCTAGAGTGGTCCAGATGCCAAGCATCTACACTTGAGAGACTTTTTCCCTTTTGCTCTCGGACCGTAGCTGTGGTATCAGTGCTCTTTATCCCTTCTGTTGCTCAGGCTGCCTCTTCTCATCGTCTCTGTGCTGAGACCTTTCCTCCTTTATTCCCTGACATCACATACTATCAGAGCTGGTCCTTCATCACCCTCCATTCGAATCCCTTTATCCCAATGAGGATATAAAGCTCAGAGGCTCAGTGATTTGCTGGAGTAGGGCTGCAGCTCACACTTCTGGCCCAGATTTGGCCTGTGGCCTCTCCATCTTTCTGCTCAGTCCTGTTCAGCATTCTGTAGGTGCGTGTTAGCCAAAAGAACAGCTTGATTTGACTGAACATAATTTTTAGTTTTTGTTTGTGTATGTGTTTAATCTTTGGTCAAGTATAATACATTAGATTTTATTACATTAAACACATTAGTATTTTTGGCATTTCTACAGAGGTTACATTAAAATGTGTGTGTGTGTATGCATATATATATGCATATATACATATATATATATTAGTATATAATGCAGTAGATCTGGAGGCAGATGTAGGTTGTGGTAATGTACCCTTCAGGGCTATTCATTCTCACTGGCTCAGGTTGGATTGAAGTAGTTTTACTCTCTGTTGCATGTCCTCAGGTTACACAGCACCCTGCATGGCTAGTTTGCTGCTTTATGTGGAGGACTTTGCTCTTAGAACCATATATATTTTCCTGTCAGTAGCTGCTGAACCCACAGTACCTCCTGTTCTCTGGTACATGCTTGTATAGAAGCATCTTGTGTCCAGGTGCAGTGACTCAGGCCTGTAATCCCAGCACTTTGGGAGGCTGAGGCAGGTGGATCACAAGGTCAGGAGATCGAGACCATCCTGACTAACACAGTGAAACCTTGTCTCTACTAAAAATACAAAAAATTAGCTGGGCGTGGTGGCACACGCCTGTAGTCCCAGCTACTCTGGAGGCTGAGTCAGAAGAATTGCTTGAACCCAGGAGGTGGAGGCTGCAGTGAGCCGAGATCATGCCACTGCACTCCAGCCTGGACAACAGAGCAAGACTCTGTCTCCAAAAAAACAAAACAAAACAAACAAAAAAAGAAGCATCTTGTAGCGTGACTCCTTGGGGCTATTGCTGACCTGCAGGCCTCACTCCCACTTACCTATTTCCAGCCCATTGCAGATGCAAAGGCTCCTGAGAAGCGGGCCTCACCATCCAAGCCAGCTTCTGCCCCGGCCTCCAGATCTGGATCCAAGAGCACTCAAACTGTCGCAAAAGCCACAACAGCTAGCTCTGTTGCCTCAACTGGCCCAAGCAGTAGGAGCCCTTCCACGCTCCTGCCCAAGAAGCCCACTGGTGAGTATTGCCTGTCTTTCTCTCCCATGGGATCTAGGGAGGGGAAAATGGGATCTTGGCTTTGCCCCAGCCATAGCTCTAGCCAGTATCACAAACAGCTGTGCAAGCCTGCTTACGCACTGGTCCTTAGTGGGCTACCCAGAACAGTGGTAGCCCTGTGGGCCTGATACTTTTTTTTTTTTTTTTTTTTTTTAAGACAGAGGCTTGTTCTATCACCTAGGCTGGAGTGCAGTGGCGCAATCTCAGCTCACTGCAATCTCCGTCTCCCAGGTTACGCCATTCTCCTGCCTCAGCCTCCCGAGTTGCTGGGACTACAGGCACCCGCCACCTCCCCCAGCTTTTTTTGTATTTTTAGTAGAGCCGGAGTTTCACCATGTTAGCCAGAATGGTCTCGATCTCCTGACCTCGTGATCCGCCCACCTCAGCCTCCCAAAGTGCTGGGATTACAGGCATGAGCCACCACACCCAGCTAGTACTTAATAAGCCTTGATCTCTGTGAGCTTAGCAGTTGTATGTATTCAGAAAAATCTTGAGTAAAGGCAGAAAAATGTACCGCTCATGAATTTCCAGGTAGAATTTACTCTTGCCTTCTTAGTAACCCACAGCACCTGGTGCTCATGGGCTTACATGATGATAAGAAGAGGGCTATTCAAGTCCATAGGCATGTATTGACAGCCTACTTTTTTTTTTTTTTTTTTTGAGACGGAGTCTCGCTCAGTCGCCCAGGCTGGAGTGCAGTGGCGGGATCTCAGCTCACTGCAAGCTCCGCCTCCCGGGTTCACGCCATTCTCCTGCCTCAGCCTCCCAAGTAGCTGGGACTACAGGCGCCCACCGCCACGCCCGGCTAATTTTTTGCATTTTCAGTAGAGACGGGGTTTCACCGTGTTAGCCAGGATGGTCTTAATCTCCTGACCTCGTGATCCACCCACCTCAGCCTCCCAAAGTGCTGGGATTACAGGCGTGAGCCACCGCGCCCGGCTGACAGCCTACTTTTAAGGCCACATAGAAAGCGTTATCAGGGCGGTACAGAAGAATAAGACACAGTGCCTGACCATCTAGTTTACCACTCCATTCCCAGGGACTAACACAGTCCCTGGCTCAAGGTAGATATTCAGTAATTGTTAAATAATGAGGAATCTCAATATTGGATGGACTATCCAACAGGTCAGTTTGTTAAATGTTATATTAATAAGTATATTTTGTACAGCAATTAAGACTGAGGGAAAACCTGCAGAAGTCAAGAAGATGACTGCAAAGTCTGTACCAGGTAATAGCCCCTCTGCCATTTTGCAGAGCCCTAACTTGAACCCCCACCTCCTCTGTGGCTTAAGTCTCCCTTTTTCTCTCTCTCCCTGAAACCGTTTTATCTCTGACTCCCTTTGCAGCTGACTTGAGTCGCCCAAAGAGCACCTCCACCAGTTCCATGAAGAAAACCACCACTCTCAGTGGGACAGCCCCCGCTGCAGGGGTGGCTCCCACCCGAGTCAAACCCACACCCATGCCCTCCCGGCCCTCCACAACTCCTTCCATAGACAAGAAGCCCACCTCGGCCAAGCCCAGCTCCACCACCCCCAGGCTCAGCCGCCTGGCCACCAATGCTTCTGCTCCTGATCTGAAGAATGTCCGCTCCAAGGTTGGCTCCACAGAAAACATCAAGCATCAGCCTGGAGGAGGCCGGGTGGGTCCAGGGAACCCGGGGTCCTGTCATGCTGGCCCCTGCATCCTCCCCTCCATCTCCACCCACTGTTCGCAGGCCCACCAAAGCAACAGGCAGTTAGGACACTGGACTCAGCGTCAGGGTATTTCAGCCTGGGCTCTGTAGTAGGCTTTGCGCCCCAGCAGCAGGGAGGGCGGGGTGGGCTCGGCTCTGGGCTTTCTCTTCCTGTCTCAATAAGAAAGGCTCCTATTCTAGATGTTGGGGTCTTGGTTTACATTTTTGCTTGGATGTAAAAGGATTATTTTATAGAAGAAACAGAGGAGGCCTCAGAGACTCTGCAAGTATGAGAGATGCTTGACATGAACCTAGTTTTTCATGGTTCTTAGCCTGCACAGAGAATGTCAGGATGGGCAGAAGGTAGAACACCTCTTACTTCCACAACCCATCACTTGAGTGGAATCTATCTGAAAGAGGACTAGGGTGCCCTCTTGTGGCCAGGATGAGTCGTGCTGTGAGCCTCTGGCCTTCCTAAACAACAGGACTGCGCTGCATATAGTGATGGAGAAAGATCACAGTGCTTCTTCACTTTTAGGATTTTCTAGTGGTTATGATTTTCTGGTTGCATCAATCCCAGAATTATTTAACTGTTGGTAACCATGGGAACTCTGTGAAAAGGTGGTGATGAAAGTCCATCTGAGAACATTCGGGTCCCTGGAGTAGTGACCATCTCATCTCCTAGGTTATTCACTAGCTCTACACCACCACCACCACCATCCAGGGCAGAATACTTAAATTGCTTAATCTGGAGCTGTTAAGATATTCAGGAGGGACAAAAATGAGGTGGAATCCTGGTGCTGTTGGAAGACACCGATGGCAAGCTGAGATCAGTCTAGGGAAGAGCCTGAGAGTTGCTTGTGGTAGCGACAGTGGCTCTGGTGTGCCCAGCAGGCCTCTGGGCTGTGCTGCTGATGGCCTACCTCCCCCTGTCTTTGCTCTTATGGTTTCATGGTGTGAAAGTTACAGGAGGTCTTGGGTGGGGAGTTGAGTGACTTGATCTAGTGAATTGTTTTCCGCTCCAACATACCTGAAGAATGTGACACTTTCTATCAGTATTGACTTCTCTGGCCGTGGCAACTGCTTGGGGCATATCAGAACATTTGGCACGGGGTGGGGGGTATTGTAATTGGAAAATCATGCCCCAGCACACTCTCAGAATCACTAATTTGGTTGTCTTAACCTTCCTTTGTGCCTTTTCTCCATTAAATAGTGTCTTGACCTGTTCCTCATTTCTCGAGACTGTGGCCTGCAGCTCCTTTTTTTGTGTCCCTCTACTCAAGGATCTGTGACTTGGTCTACCCTGGGAAATGTGTGGTTTTGCCTAGGATCAAAGGCCACCTGCTTTTGCCTGGTGGCCTGACCTGGATTTGAGTCCCCTACAGCCTTCTTCCCTTCTTGGCATTTGAGCTCTTATCCTCTTGGTTTGAAATTTGCCCTCCCTTTATCTCCATCCAGGCCAAAGTAGAGAAAAAAACAGAGGCAGCTGCTACAACCCGAAAGCCTGAATCTAATGCAGTCACTAAAACAGCCGGCCCAATTGCAAGTGCACAGAAACAACCTGCGGGGAAAGTGAGTTTTACTTAGACCCACCTCTGGAAGGTGAAGATGGTAAAATACTTCTTCCAGCCTGAGCCACTTGCCCTCTCTTGCACTTTTCCCCTTTCCTTAACTAGTTTCTACTTCTTCTCCCCCATATTCCCTTCTCTGTGCTTGATGACTCAACCATCAGAAAATTTTTTGTATTAACTTTGAAAGTTAATGGAGTTGGGAGCCCATTAGCCCTTTGGAGAATATATATATGTATATAATTTTTGACTGGATAAAATGGATCCAAAGACTTTCGTTCATTTCCTTCACACTGACCTTGATGTGAAACCTACCTGGTATGGATGCAAATACAGTGCACCTCCATTCGTTATCAGGAAGACATGGCAGGGGCAATTTCCCCCACCTGGAACCCTGGAGCCCCTGTGCTTTACCTTGAACTAAAAGATCCCTCTCATAACGCTGCTGGGTGTGGAGATAACTTCATTTGTCCTGGTTCCCCAGGTCACCTCTTAACTGAAAGTTAGGATGCTCATTCCCAGTGGAAACCCACTTAGTATAGGCATGCAGCATCAACTGGAGGGCAGAGGTAAGCTGAAACCACAGGTTCTTTCCCCTTGCTTCTGTAAACCTGGAAACCAGGCCCCTCCTGAGTTCTTGCAACACCTTCCTTAGCTGTAGCAGGTAGGTGTGCCTCTGCCAGAGAAGCCCGCACTCCAGCCCTTAGGGACCAGCATGGGAAGTCTCAGCCTAGGGCTGAGTGAAGAAAGCTGCACTGTGGCTTCTCGGTGACTACTAGAGGTCCTAGGTTCAGACCAAGGCTCATTAAGTAGTTTGCTAACCACTTGTTTACCATCAAAGTTGTGAAAAAGGCTAGAAATGAGTAGGTACAATGAGGTATATGGGTTGGAGTTTCTCAGGATGTCTGTACTCTGTGGAGAGCTCTTCAGCCTAGGGCCTGCATCATTTGCAAAGAAAGGAAGTTGGCAACTATTCCTTCTTGAGAAGGTCCTGGGATTCTTTGTTCCAGACTCTTAGAGCCAGGGCCTTGGTGTTTCTCAGTTCCAGGGGAAGCCATTCCCGTACTATACAGTGTGGCTGTGCCCCCAGGATTGGGTGTTATTGCTCCCCTGCTGAGAGCCTGTTGTTTCCACATGGGCATCTCACAGGGCAGAGGATTAGGCATATGGAGGATTCAAGAAGGTATTTTACCCTTGAGTCAAAAATACTATGCCTTCTCGAGCCCTGAGACAAATGGGCTAAGTGTGGAGGCTGCAGCCACTCCCCTGGTAGTGGAGATTCTGTATCCATTTGTATTCACATCTGAGCACCATCCCCTCCTTCCTGTTAGTATCATCCGTGCCCTTGTTGCCAGCTGCCCAGTACTTCTCATAGCAGCCTTTGCTTCTGAGAATGGGTCTGGCTGCAGCCATTCCAGGGCCCAGATTTAAGGGAAGCACCCTCTTTGGGTGAGAACAGGTCCACATGATAAGACTCTTGCAGAGAAGAGCCAAGGACACTGTGCCCAGCTCTTGAGGAGGGAGCAGGGCAAGGAGGTAGGGCTGTGCCTGGTGGGGCATCAGGCTGGGCTGCTGCCTGGGCCTTGTGAACCACAGCCCCACCCCCAAGGAGCGGTGATGACCAACATGCCCCGCCTGCGCAGCTCTGCTCCTGTCGTTGTGTTGTCTGTTCACGTTTTTCACTCCCCTTCTTGCTCTTTCACATTTCTTTTCCTGTGCTTTTCCACATGTTCTGTAGAAGATGGGGGTGGAGGTTTAACAACACTTTTTGTTGGTCATTGTGATCACGTGTGGACTCACTGCCTTCCCTGTGTCGATTCTAACCAGTCCTCTCCCTTTGTGTTGTTTTTTCTGTTTTCTAACACTCCAGGTCCAGATAGTCTCCAAAAAAGTGAGCTACAGCCATATTCAGTCCAAGTGTGGTTCCAAGGACAATATTAAGCATGTCCCTGGAGGTGGTAATGTAAGTATAAGCTCTGGTTAGCTGGCATCTGAGACATAGCCCACTGTGGGGTATACTGGGGAGAGAGCCAGGTGCCCATGTGGATAGAATCCCAGTGACCTGAGCTATGGCATTCTCTAAGAAGCAGACTAGCAAACTGAGGGGACCTTCATGCTCCCATGTTAGACAGGGGGTTTCTGGCGAGCCCCTGAACACCAGCATGGTGATATCCACTCAGTATCTTTTTACCCATGTGGGTGGGAGGCTTTGGATTTTTCTCCAGCTATGTCAGAGCCTGGGTCTGAGCACAGTGGTCAGCAGCAGACCTGTTGCCTGTCTGGAGTCCATTCCTGGGATGCATATGTTTGTCTGCATGCCCTTGAATTACCGTGGGAGTAATTGCTCTGAGACAGATGTCTACATCTTTCCAGAGCTCATCTTTGAATCCTTGTTATTATAAAATAAGAATTAATCATTTTCTTCCTATCCCTTCCCCGCGTTTTTCTTCATCTTTGTTGCTCTCCAGCTCTCTGGTTTTTCCCCTACTTTATTTTCTCTCCCTACTTTCTCCTCTTTTTCTTTTTTCCTTTTTTTTTTTTTTTTTTTGAGACAAAGTCTCACTCTGTTGCCCAAGCTAGAGGCAGTGGTGCAATCTCGGCTCACTGCAACCACCACCTCCCGGGTTCAAGTGATTCTCCTGCCTCAGCCTCCCGAGTAGCTGGGACTATAGGTATGCGCCACCATGCCCAAATAATTTTTGTATTTTTAGTAGAGATGGCATTTCACTATGTTGGCCAGGCTGGTCTTGAACTCCTGACCTCATGATCCGCCCACTTCAGCCTCCCAAAGTGCTGGGATTACAGGCATGAGCCACTGTGCCCGGCCCTCCCATTTCCCTTTCTGCTCTCCCTTTTTTTTTTTCCCTTTTCTAATCCCTTCCTCCTTTTTCTTCCCCTCGTTTTTTAGTCCCTTTTCCCATTTTTTTTGTTGTTATTTTTTGAGACAGAGTCTCACTGTTGCCCAGGCTGGCATGCAGTGGTGTGATCTGGGCTCACTGCAGCCTCCACCTACCAGGGTCAAGCGATTCTCCTGCCTCAGCCTCCCGAGTAACTGGAACTACAGGCATGCACCACCATGCCCAGCTAATTTTTGTATTTTTAGTAGTGATGGGGTTTCACCATGCTGGCCAGGCTGGCCTTGAACTCCTGACCTCATGATCTGCCTGCCTCGGCCTCCCAAAGTGCTGTGTTACAGGCATGAGCCACTGCGCCCAGACTTTTCCTCCTTATCTTTTTGTCCTCTTTCCTCTTCCCCCCAAACATCCTTCTTTTTGTCTTGCTGCCATTGTGTGCCAGCTCTATGAGGGGTATTGGGGACACAAGTGATCCCAGCTCACAGGAAGGTTCTGGTCTAGGGAGAGATAGGGCAAAGTCTTACTGTCGTTGAGTGTGTGAAGAACACCCTGTGTGCTTTCTGCTTGTCACTGTGACAGTGCCCAGGCGAGTGGTACTCTGTGGAGTTGTACCAGAGGCACCAGAGGCTGCCATGCACAGCGCCTGCCCTCACCGCTCTCTTCCAGACCAAGTGGGACAGCCTGTCTTGCCTCCGTTTCTTTTGAGTTCATTCGGTTCTTTCTTCTTGCTGTCCTGAACTGGACTAGGTCCTGCTCCACTTACCCTTTTCATTTTTAGACTCTGTTAACACTCCTGCCTCCTCCTTGGTGATCATGACATTCTGCCCATGGCCTACAGACACCCCCAGCAGTTCTGTCATGAGGAATGCGGCCATGAGCTTTCATTCTTGCCCCACACAACTCTCCTTCCTGCCCCTCCTTCCTGGTCAGCTTCTCACCACTGCCTCTTCCTGGACTGGATAGAAATGGCATCCTTTACACTCGGGTGGAGTTGCTTGACCAGATGTTAGTCAACCTGGAATAGGGTCAGCTAAAGTGAGGTGACAAAGATCCAGCCCACGAGGGGCCCAAGCAGCCGCTGAGCCTGGCTTTATCCTGGATTAAAACAGAAGGTGAACAGGGGTTCTGAGGGAACTGGGTCACTTGTGTAGGTGAGACATAGAAATGCATATGTGTGTGTTGTATGGTGCATATAAGAGCTCTGAAAATAGTCACCATTAATGTATCACCTGCTGTGATGTTTCCACACTGCCTACACATGACCTCACATGTGTAGGGTTTGTTTGTTTTGTTTTGTTTTGTTTTTTCTGAGGGTGAATGTATTTTTAAAGCCTTTTCACTTTAGGAGGCTTCCTCAAACAGAGAGCATTAGGAGACTGCTGTGAGCAGTCTTTCCTGGTGGGGAGATGAGGGTAAACAGCAGCTGGCCACAGCTGAACCCAGGTGCTTTGTTTCCTTCCGTAGCCTCCATCAGTCCTTCCCTAAAGCCACCACAAGGAAATGTGCAGTTTAAAATGATGGGCTCCAGGCTGGGCACCATAGTGAGACCCCCATCTCTACAAAGAAAAGTCTTGCTCTGTCACCAGCCTGGAGTGCAGTGGCGTAATCTCGGCTCACTGCAACCTTCGCCTCCCAGGTTCAAGTGATTCTCCTTCCTCAGCCTCCCAAGTAGCCGGGATTACAGGCGCCTGCCACCGTGCCTGGCTAATTTTTGTATTGTATTGTATTTATTTTATTTTATTTTATTTTATTTTATTTTATTTTATTTTAAGATGGAGTCTTGATCTGTCGCCAAGGCTGGAATGCAGTGGCATGATCTCAGCTCACTGCAAGCTCCGCCTCCTAGGTTCACGCTATTCTCCTGCTTCAGCCTCTCAAGTAGCTGAGACTACAGGCGCCCGCCACAATGCCCGACTAATTTTTTATATTTTTTAGTAAAGACAGGGTTTCACTGTGTTAGCCAGGATGGTCTCGATCTCCTGACCTCATGATCCGCCCGCCTCGGCCTCCCAAAGTGCTGGGATTACAGGCATGAGCCACCACACCTGGCCTAATTTTTGTAATTTTGGTAGAGATGGGGTTTTGCTATGTTGGGCAGGCTGGTCTCAAACTCCTGACCTCAAGTGATACACCCACTTTGGCCTCCCAAAGTACTGGGATTATAGTAAGAGCCACTGTGCCCAGTCCCAAAAACAATCTTTTAAAATAAGGCCAGGTGCAGTGGCCCTGGGAGGCCTAGGCAGGAGTATTGCTTCAAAACCAGCCTGGGTTTCAGAGCAATTTTAAATTAGCCAGACATGTGCCTGGCGGCATTAGGTGGCATGTGCCTGTGGTTCCAGCTTTTCAGAAGGTTGAGACGGGAGGATTGCTTGAGCCTGGGTAGTTGAGACTGCAGTGAGCCATGATGGCACCACCGCACTTCAGCCCGGGTGACAGAGAGAGACACTGTCTGAAAAAAAAGGGGCGGGGGAAGGACCTGCTGTGCAGACAGAACAGCATTACACACTCCTCACCCACACACATACACAAAGAAATACCACAGTTACCACCAGAACGAGAAGCTCAAAACAGGATCCTAGTTAATGCTCCAAAAATGCCCCTGACAGACACACAGACATACCCCTTGATGAGAGCCAGGAGGACACCAGTGGAGTGGAGAGAGGGGAGTGATGAGCCAGTGCCAATGTAGTGGCTTCTTCTGTGGCTAGTCCCAGTTAAGATTTTGTGTCCGTTTTGGTTCCATTTCACCCTTGCAAGGGGCTGTGCATGTGTAGTGGGTGCTGAGACGTGCTGGCAGCTGACTTCCACAGCATGTTTTGGTTACCTGAAGTGTGCCTGCAGGCTCTCACAGAGCGGCAGGCAGCCTGTGTAAGCAGAAGCAGAGTTAGGTGTGTGATGCCGTGATTGCTCCTAGGACCACAGAGAGCCAGCGTGGTTTCTGCGGTCCCCGAGGAGGGGACACTTGGGCCAGCCCATGAAGGAGATGCCGCACATGGTTCCCTGAGGCTGAAGCACACAGTGGAGGCAGGGTGGTGTGGGGGAAATGTTTGGAAGCAGATTGTAGACTCCTCCACGTAGCCACCTAAGGAGGGAGAACTGTAACCTAGAGGTGGTGGGCTTTATTAAGTGAGTGAGGCTCAGTTAAGCTTTTTAAAACTTTTTACTGGGCCGGGCACAGCGGCTCACGCCTATAATCCCAGCACTTTGGGAAGCCAAGGCAGGCAGATCGCCTGAGGTCGGGAGTTCGAGACCAGCCTGACCAACATGGAGAAACCCTGTCTCTATTAAAAATATAAAATTAGCCAGGCCTGGTGGTTCATGCCTATAATCCCAGCTACTCTGGAGGTTGAAGCAGGAGAATCGCTTGATCCTGGGAGGCGGAGGTTGCAATGAGCCGAGATTGTGCCATTGCACTCCAGCCTGGGCAACAAGAGCGAAACTCCATCTCAAAAAACAAAAACCAAAAAAAACCAACTTTTTATTGTGGGAATTTTCAAACACACACGTTTGAAAGTAGAAAGTAGGAAAAAATAGTAAAATGAACCTTTTGTTCATTTTACTATTTTTTTACAGGGTACCTCATTTACTATCTACATGAGCAGTCTTGGTTTATCTATATATGCCTATCCCAAGTATTTTGAAGCCAGCCCTGTATATATTATTTATTTGTTAATACTTTAGCATGTAGCTGGGCGCAGTGGCTCATGCTTATAATCCCAGCACTTTGGGAGGCCAAGGCAGGCGGATCATGAGGTCAGGAGATCGAGACCATCCTGGCTAACAACATGAAACCCCATCTCTACTAAAAATACAAAAAATTATCTGGGCGTGGTGGCACGTGCCTGTAGTCCCAGCTACTCAGGAGGCTGAGGCAGAAGAATCACTTGAATCTGGGAGGCAGAGCTTGCAGTGAGCTGAGATTGTGCCACTACACTCCAGCCTGGGTGACAGAGCAAGACTCTCTCTCAAAAAAAAAAAAAAAAAAAAAAATGCATATATTGATCCATATATTTAAAATATCACTAATAAGGTATGTATTATAATACAGGCTTCAACTCTTTTAATCTTAAGTTGTTTTTACTCTACAAGTCTCCGCTCCATTTTTTTTTTTTTTTTTTTTTGAGACATAGTCTCACTCTGTCGCTCAGGCGTGAAGCTGTAACACATTTTAAATCATATTTTTGTATAAATCGCTTTAGCATTTCAAGTTATTTCTCTAGGATGTATTCCTAACATAGGACTCTTATGTCAGAAGCTACATCTGTTTCATGGTGTGGGCTACCTAGGTTTTTTGTTTGTTTGTTTGTTTGTTTGTTTGTTTGCTTTTTGAGATGGAGTCTCACTCTGTCACCCAGCCTGGAGTGCAGTGGCGCGATCTCGGCTCACTGCAACCGCCGCCGCCCGAGTTCACACCATTCTCCTGCCTCAGCCTGCTAAGTAGCTGGGACTACAGGCGCCTGCCACCACGGCCAGATAATTTTTTGTATTTTTAGTAGAGACGGGGTTTCACCATGTTAGCCAGGATGGTCTCGATCTCCTGACCTCATGAACCGCTTGCCTCGGCCTCCCAAAGTGCTGGGATTACAGGCATGAGCCACTGGCCTTTATTTTTATTTATTTATTTATTTATTTATTTTGACACAAAGTCTCGCTCCGTGGCCCAGGCTGGAGTGCAGTGGCGTGATCTTGGCTCACTGCAACCTCTGCCTCCTGGGTTCAATTGATTCTCCTGCCTCGGCCTCTTGAGTAGCCAGGATTACAGGCGTGCACCAGCATGCCCAGCTAACTTTTGGGTGGTTGTTATTGTTTTAAAGACAGAGTCTCGGCTGGGCGTGGTGGCTCACACCTGTAATCCCAGCACTTGGGGAGGTTGAGGCAGGTGGATCACAAAGTCAGGAGTTCTAGACCATCCTGGCCAATATGGTGAAACCCTGGCTCTACTAAAAATACAAAAAGCTGGACGTGGTGACGCGTGCCATAATCCCAGCTACTCGGGAGGCTAAGGCAGGAGAATCGCTTGAACCAAGGAGTGGGAGGTTGCAGTGCATTGAAATCGTGCCATTGCACTCCTGCCTGGTGACTATAGTCTCTACAAAAACCCCGTCTCTACAAAAAAATGCAAAAATTAGCTGGGCATGGTGGTGTGCACCTGCAGTCTCAGCCACTTGAGGGACTTGAGTCTGGGAGGATCACTTGAGCCTGGGAGATTGAGGCTGCAGTGAGCTGAGGTCATGCCTCTGCACTTCATCCTGGGTGGCAGAGTGAGACCCTGTCTCAAAAGAAAACAAGAAAGAAATGTGTGACTCTGCATCTTGGTGAGGGCCCATGCCTTGGAGAGTGACTCTGTTAACTTCTTGCATGTGCTGTTGTGGTTACAGCTAAGATGAGCTTGTCACCATTGCTTCAAGACCCATGTTAGGTTGGTTTAAGCAGCTACCAGATCTTTGGCTGGTAAAAGTACCCTTCCCTATGCCCTCTCTTATGAGGGATAAGGATAGGGAGATGTTTGGATGAGGCCTTCATGGCCCCCTCTTCTTGAATTGGCCATTTCTTCCCCTAACAAATAACAAGATACCTTGTTTTAAACCCAGATAAAGCACAATGGTGTGACCACCAACTCTGTAGCTGCAGGACTCCATTTGCTGTCAGCACATACTTAGGAGGAGGTATCTGTGCTATATCCTAACTTCCATTTTGGAGATACCTATAAATATCTGTATAATGAACTATAGATTGAGGAGAAAAGAAACAAGTTTCTGTCTATGGAAAATTGCAGACTTTTTGAAAAGATGAGACAAAGTAGAGGCTGTGTGTTTTCACAGTAGTAACTACTCTGTATGTAATTATCAAACATGTGAAGCAATTATGGTATAGTTCCTGGTGGTGTCCCTTCAAGAGATGATATGAGAAAGAGACGGATTGAAGCGAGAGCCATGTGAGGCCGTATGGAAGGCACCCTTTGAGCTGGGCATTGAAGGATGGGGAAGAAAACACAGTGGGTTTTTTGGGTTAGGCATGAGCTGAGTTTTAGAGGCAAGACTGAGAATGGCTCTGGCAAGCTGGGGATTGTGGGTAGTTGTTATTCTGTGCCAGGTCTTGGGCTGTGGGTGCAAATACAAAAATACAGGTGGCATTATATCTGTCCTCTGGGAACATGGTGAAGACCGTATTTCCTGACACCAAAGAAAGGAAAACAGGGCTCAAAAAGGTAGCTCACCATTTAGTAGATTGTGGCGAAACCCACCAGAACAGTGTAACACTGCTTGGAGTTGATGTGTTGGAAAGTCAGGCTCTCCTACCGAAGGATAGTGGGGCCACTCATAGGAATGCTGGAATCCCCATCCAGCAACCCAGTGGGCATGCATGGCTATAGACCTAAAGATGCATCACCTTTTTTTTTTTTTTTTTGAGGCAAAGTCTCACTCTGTTGCCCAGGCTGGAGTGCAGTGGTGCAATCTTGGCTCACTGCAAGTTCTGCCTCCCGAGTTCACGCCATTCTCCTGCCTCAGCCTCCCCAGTAACTGGGACTACAGGTGCCCACCACCACGCCTGGCTAATTTTTTTTGTATTTTTAGTAGAGACGGGGTTTCACCATGTTAGCCAGGATAGTCTCGATCTCTTGACCTCATGATCCACCCGCCTCGGCCTCCCAAAGTGCTGGGATTACAGGCATGAGCCACCGCGCCTGGCCAAGATGCACCACCTTTAAATGCAAATTTTTGTATTTTTAGTAGAGAGAGAGATTCACTATGCTGGCCAGGCTGGTCTCAAACTCCTAGCCACAGGTGATCTGCCTGCCTCAGCCTCCCAAAGTGCTGGGATTACAGGTGTGACCCACTGCACCTGGCTGGGAAAATTGTTATAACATGGTTTAAGCAGCAATACTATGATTACACACACAAAACACACACACGCACACCACCCCCTCCCCCGCCAAGGGGAAAATGCATTGAAAAGGACTGGAAGTAAGTATGTTATTCCAGGTTTCTCTGGGCGAGGAGTTGATGGGTAAGGTTTTGAGATGGAACAAAGGGGATATTTCAATGGAGCCTTGATGCTGGTGTTTGGACCTGGTGAAATGACAGAAGAGTTGTCTGGAGCATGCATGGACAGGGTCTGCACAGAAAAGCCTGTGGGGTGTGGAAATGGTGGTTTGGTCTGGCTGGAGGTGGGGTTAGAAGTGAAGGCTGGTGGCCGGGCACAGTGGCCCACGCCTGTAATTCCAGCACTTTGGGAGCCTGAGGCAGGCGAATCACCTGAGGTCAGGAGTTCGAGACCAGCCTGACCAACATGGAGAAACCCTATCTCTCTACTAAAAATACAAAATTAACCGGGCGTGGTGGTGCATGCCTATAATCCCAGCTACTCCAGAGGCTAAGGCAGGAGAATCACTTGAACCCAGGAGACGGAGGCTGGGGAGAGCCAAGATCGTGCTAGCCTGGGCAACAAGAGCAAAACTCCGTCTCAAAAAAAAAAAAAAAAAAAAAGTGAAGGCCAGACACGGTGGCTTACGCCTGTAATCCCAGCACTCTGGGAAGCCGAGGTGGGTGGATCCCCTGAGGTCAGGAGTTCACCAGCCTGGCCAACGTGGTGAAACCCTGTCTCTACTAAAAATACAAAAAATTAGCCAGGTGTATTGGTGCATGCCTGTAATCCCAGCTACTCGGGAGGCTGAGGCAGGAGAATTGCTTGACCCCAGGAGGCGGAGGTTACAGCAAGCTGAGATCGTACCACTGTACTCCAGCCTGGGCAACAGAGCGAGACTCTATCTAAAACAAAAAAAGAAAAGAAGTGAAGAGCAGGGCCAGGGTGGGTCAAGGGCTCTTGTAAGTATTTAGGGAGATGACCCTGTCTTTGAACAGACTGAGACAGCAGCTTACAGAGGGAGTGAGAAACCCTGAACATGGAGAAGATTTAAAAGGTAGCATGGGGTTGGCTCTGATAATACACCCTCTCTCTGAATGAGTCTTTTGTGTCCTTCTCCTCAGGTTCAGATTCAGAACAAGAAAGTGGATATCTCTAAGGTCTCCTCCAAGTGTGGGTCTAAGGCTAACATCAAGCACAAGCCTGGTGAGTGGCGCCTCCCTTGCCCACTGGGACTCCCAGGGTATGTAGTCCTGCCATGGGCCAGCTGGGCAGCCCGCTGGCTGGCAAGGGTTTCATCTCTGCCTTTAGCGTCCCATGAAGACTACCCAGGACACAGCGGTGGAAACAATACAGTCCTCGTTCTGTCAGGGAGCGGGAGTTCAGGTGCTAACCTCTCAGTGGAGAAGGAGCAGTTTCTTACGACAGCCATCCGCACAGGCATTCTCTTGAGTACCCACTGTGTGCGTGGCACTATTGAGCTAGGCCTGGGGAAGCGGTGCACTCTGAGCTGAGAACCTGGGTTGCCTTAAACGAGGATTACAGGAGCTACTGCTGAAGGAGCTGTATAGAGAGCAGTGTTCAGGTCCCACCTGTCAGGTTCAGAAGCAAAGGATGCTCCCAACCAGTGAAGCATCAGCCACTAGCCCTGGCAGGAGAATGGGAGGCGTTCAGCAACTTGCACTAATGCAGTTTCCTTCCAGCAACATGGTTGGCCCAGCAGCCCTGTGGAAGTCACTGTGCAGAGGCTGGGCTCTTGCCTTGGCTAGTATCCTTGCAGCCTTGTGTCCTAGTTCCTGGATCTACAGCAGATCTGTGGGTAGGATTGCTGCAGCAGCAGGCACACTGGCTGGCCGACCTGGTATCCCAGAAGGCTAGCCACCACAGGCCAGTTAAGGTGAAGGCAAAATTCTCTTCCCTCAGGGCGGGCGCAGTCTCTCATGCCTGTAATCCCAGCACTTTAGGAGGCCGAGGCAGGCAGATCACTTGAGATCAGGAGTTTGAGACCAGCCTGGCCAACATGGCAAAACCCTGTCTCTACTAAAAATACAAAAATTAGCCAGGTGTGGTGGTGCATGCCTGTGGAGAATTGCTTGAACCTGGGAGGCAGAGACTGCAGTGAGCCAAGAGTGTGGCACTGCACTCCAGCCTGAGCAACAGAGCGAAATTCTGTCTCCAAAAAGAAAGAAAAAACTCCCTTTCCCTCTCAGTGAAGAGTGTGATCCAGTTTAGAATGTGTTCTATTTAGAAAGATCTAAACAATTCCATTCTTAACCATTTTTCCCCCTTTTATCTGGGAAATCTACTCCTATGAGATACTTCCTTCTCTAATGGCACTGAGTCACTTAGGGTCTAGATTTTGCCAGGGCTAAGTTTCCCAGTATGGGACACCGGGAGACCTTGGCCAGAAGCTGTGCATGGAGGTCTGCCATGTGAGCTGAGAGGAGAAGGAAGAACAGGAGAAGGGGCCCAAGGGGAGTCACGCTGCTGGGTTCAGGAGGGGCTGGGTACTCATTGACGGCAGCTCATCCCGCACCCCTCCCCTCCGTCTCATGGGCACACTCTGGCCAGTGAGCTCTGAACTCTGGGCTTGAGTTCAGACCACCTTCCCTCCCCGTCCTAGCCTGAGGTCACTAGATCCCGCGGGCCTGCCTTGGTCCATGTCTTTCCTTTCTCAGCGCACAGCCTCAGGGCCACTCTCCTTTTTATCATTCCTTCTTTTTGCTACAGTGTGATACGGTTAGGGGCTCAGACAATTTTCACAACCTGTCCCTGTCAATCAGCAGTTTGGTGGTAACTCTGGGTGAGTCCCTTCTCTTTTGCAGCATGTTTTACCAGCTGTGAAGCAGGGACCGTGGCCGTGATGACAGGGCATTCATGAGAATTCAATGAGGCTGTACCTGAGAAGCACTGCATGGCCCAGTTAGCGGGAGGGCATTCCCATACCAAGTAGAGAAGCAGAGGCTTCGTCCCGGAGGCTGTGCTCGGAGCCCCAGGCCTGCCCAAGCCTGGCCTGCAGCTCGGTGGCTGTGGCGTGGGGTGGTGGAAGGGATGGCGTTCCTTCTCTTGGAGATATTCCCACTGGCTGGACGGAGAGATTGTCTCAGCCTCACTGTGATAAGAGAAGCCCTCTTTAGACAAACGTGTTCACTGTTATTCGTTTGCCACCCAGAAGCAGGTCACATCTTTCTCATTTCTAGATTGGGCATATCACCAGTCCTGGTTTTGCCTGCAGGGATATTCCTCTGCCACCCTAGGTGACCAATTTCTTTGTGGTTCCAGGTGGAGGAGATGTCAAGATTGAAAGTCAGAAATTGAACTTCAAGGAGAAGGCCCAGGCCAAGGTGGGATCCCTTGATAATGTGGGCCACCTACCTGCAGGAGGTGCCGTGAAGGTAGCGAGTGGGTCACTGGGGAGGCACAGCTGGGCAGGGGTGGGGACTATGCAGCTAGGGTCAGGGTCCTCACAGGTAGGCACCTGTCACCGCCCCTCAGTCTCTTCAGGAGTCATGTCTTCACCCACACCATTGCTGTTTTCCCATCGTGTATCATCAGTCCTGACTGAGGCAGAAGTGAAGAGGCCCCAGCCCAGCCACCCCTCACCTGTCAGCTGGAGGCAGAACCTTGCTCCTGAGAGCCATGGCCTTCCTAATTGAGCCCATCCAGGCATTTTAGAAGGCCACGGGCTGGGACACAGACCACCACCAGGCGAGCGGGGGTTCTGCACCACACAGTTCTCTCCAGCTGTCACACAAGAGGGGAATGTGGGTTCCCACCCCATGTCAGGCTCCGCTCCTGGGCTGGGAGCAGGACAGCACATTCTTGGCTGCCAGCGACAGCAGGCTGCCTGGGGCCTGCCTCTGCAGGGCCTGCCTGGGGCCTCCCTGTGCAGGGCTCTGGGACAGAGCTCAAGTGGCAGAGCTTCACATCCTGGCAACTGGCTGGGCCTCTTCTCCCTTCCCTCTCTCCTCTTTCCTCCCTTCCTCCTTCCACAGTACTGTGAGACCTTTTGTGTGCCAAGATGCTGTCTGTCCTTTGTTCCATGTCATCGGCGGGTGGGGGGCCCATGAGGGGCATCTTGTAGGCCCCGAGCACAAGGAAGGCTGCTGCTGCTCGGGTTCAGGTGCGCAGGGGAGAGGGGCCGGGAACCACTGCCCTGGGCCTTCCCTTCCGCCTCTGCTCCCCAGTGCCAGCCAGTGCCCAGCCCGTCCCCTGTCCCATCCTCTCCTGATGCTCTGACTGAAGCCTTGATCAGCTTCCACGAACATCTGGGGGGTCCTTGCTGCCATAGGCTCTCAGTTCGTGCCCCCCACGCCTTGTGAGGATGCCGTTCTCGCGCCCATCTCAGTGGGGTGTTAACTTGACTTTAGTCTCTTGTCCAAGGACACAGTGAGCGAGTGTGGACAGGGATTCACATCTGGGCTTTTCTGACCCCAAGCCTTGTGTGCTTTTCCTTACTCATATTATCTCCGTTTCTTTATTAGTTCTGGAATTAGGATTTTTAATTGAGGCCTATTTCTCTCACTATGCCGATTAGAAACCACTTCTGCCTTGTCACTTTTTGGGTATTTGGCGACACAGGCTTTCCAGCTCCCCAGTGACCTCTCGCAGCTGTTCTCTCTTCTCTGCCTTCCTCACACTGAGTGTTCCATGTCCCCCAAATGTCCTTCTCCTATGAAGCCCTCCGGGCCTCCACAGTCTCCCTGGGTTATACCTCCTTGGACACCTCCTTTCTGCCTCCCGTGGACCCCTGGTCCCAGAAAGGTGCCCAGCACAGACAAAGCCTCAGTGCCTGCGTTCCTGACCAGACAGATGTCCAGGCAGGGCTGCCCGGGAGCTGCTGACGACCCCAGGGTGTGCAGGGGGTGGCCTGGGTCCAGGGAGGGTTTGGGAGGATGGGCTGCACCCTTTGGGGGGCTGCCCTTCAGGCTTGTTGCTTACTGTTGTCATGGCTAATTTGGTACCAGCCTGAGGCCTGGCACCTCTGCCCTCAGAGAGGCTTCATCAGAGCCTCACATGCCACAGAGGGGCTCTGAGAGTGTCACTAGCCCAGCTGCTCCCGACCCTCGGGAGTCGGTCTCCCAGGTGAGGTGGGGTGGGTGGGGCCAGGGCACCTGCCTGGGATTCTCCAAGCGACTGTGCCTTAAGCCAGTGGGTGCCGGGACAGCACGGGTGGGGGCTGTGTGTGAAACCCACCACCATCACCCATCCCACTCCCCTCCCGACTGACCCTGCACTGTCTCCCCCACTGTTTCATTGTAGACTGAGGGCGGTGGCAGCGAGGCTCCTCTGTGTCCGGGCCCCCCTGCTGGGGAGGAGCCGGCCATCTCTGAGGCAGCGCCTGAAGCTGGCGCCCCCACTTCAGCCAGTGGCCTCAATGGCCACCCCACCCTGTCAGGGAGTGGTGACCAAAGGGAGGCCCAGACCTTGGACAGCCAGATCCAGGAGACAAGTAAGTGGCTGGGCTCGGCCTAAGGGCCAGCCAGGGGCCCTGCCACTGGCCGCAAATTGAAACTCCTTTGTTTTTGACTAGAGTGTGGCCTAAATTTTAACGAAGTAACCTTTTATTTTCCAGGCATCTAATGATGACATTCTGGTCTCGTCTTCCGTCTCCCCCGTGTTCCCCTCTTGTCTCCCCTGTTCCCCTCTCCCTTCCCTCCTCCCATGTCACTGCAGATTGAGACCTACAGGCTGACGTTCCGGGCAAATGCCAGGGCCCGCACCGACCACGGGGCCGACATTGTCTCCCGCCCCCCACATTTCCCTGGCGGCCCCAACTCGGGCTCCCGGGTCCTTGGCCCCCTTTCCCGGACTGTCCACTAGACCAGTGAGCGCTTGGGCGCCGGGCAGCCCGCTAGGCTCGCCTTCCCTCCTGCTTCGCAGCAGCAGCCCCACCCCACACCTCCTCTCACGCTCCAGCCCAGGCCCAGCTCCCTGCTTTCGTCTTGCCCCATCACTGCGCCACTGCTCCATAGAGGAGGTTGGGAGGGGGTTGGGGTGGCTGAGGCTAAGTTGGGATCTAGGAGAGGAGAACTAGATTCCACCCTCATCTTTGTTTGGTTCTTTGGTCCAAACCCAAAAGAAACTGACATGCCCTCCCTCCTTCCTGGATCTACCTGGAGGGAAGAGTGGAGGCGGAGTTTGAGTGGTGACGGGACGCTGACTGTGGCGCTTAAGCCACTGCCTCTCCCTTTGGCGCCACAAATGCCCCCCCCCCCACATGCAGGTGGTGCCCAGCCCTTCTTGCTGCCCTGCCCCAAGTTGGGGTCAGTGCTGCCTGTTCCCATGCTTAACATACCCGCCTAGCTGCTGTCACATTTTTCTTGTTTTGTCCTTTTATTTTTTTTCTAATAACCTAAAAACTGGCGAAATAGTTCTGCAGGTTGAAGCCATGTCTATATGAAAGTCCTCAGTAAGTGTTAGAGGGAACAGGGCGGAGAGATCCTTACACCACCCCCGCTGGAGGATGTGGGCAGCTTAGGGCCCTGGAGGCGGTGCAGCAGGGAAGAGGGGTGCAGAGGCTGTGGCTGGTGAGCCGGTCGGGCACACAAGGGGCTCTCGGAGCGTGCACTGGTTGGTTTTGCCATTTTGTTGTGTGTATGCTGCTTTTCTTTTCTAACCAAGAGGCTGGTTTTGGCATCTCTTTCCCATTCCCTGGGATCTGGTGGTCAGCCCTAGAATACAAAGCCAGGGCTGGAGAACAAGAAAGGGCCAGGAGATGGAATTCCTTCAGGCCGGCACCCGCACCCTAGGACATGCAAGCCCTCATGTCCAGGGGACCCTCATGCGGATAGTGGGAAATCAGGTCTGGAAATTTAAAAATAAAAGGCATGAGACTAAGGCCATCTGCTTCCCCTACGCCCTGACTGGAGAGGGGAGGGAGGAGAGGCGAGGCCCACAGAGGGCATCCCAGCTAGGCCTTGGGATGGCTGCAGTGAGGAGAAATCCTGGGAACTGTATTGACACAAAGATTCTTATTGCACTTGTATTTTTTGTATTAAAGTTTGCATGGTTTCTAATAAAGGATTCAAACATAAGTTTGTAGTGAAATGGCCTGGAAGATTCCAAGGGCTTCTCTGGAGGGGACTGGCTACAGTGTAGATTTGCCTCTGAGGCTGCCCCAGACTTGGCCTCCTCAGGCCCCTCCTGACCTCTGCCCTTCTCTGGTCCTGGCATCCCTTGGAGCTGGAGAAGGTAGGGGTCTTGGCTTAGGTTTAGATTTGATCTCCATGTGCAGGGAGGCAGTCCTGGGCCTGACAGCTCCTCCCCCTTTCTGAGGTGGCAGTGCCTTATGGAGGTTTGGCACCATGTCTCTAGCTCCCCAGGCACACACCAGGAAACTGCAGGGCCTCACGGAGGAAGTGCTGCCTGGGCCGGGGGGACTAGCTTTCCTCCATAGAGACCACGTGCAGAACACTTCCGCTGTGCCCAGAACATGAGGGAGCCAGTGTTTCGTCAGCAGGAGGAAGGGCCTGCTGGGATGAAAGTGAGAAGGAAACAGTGAGGGTTGGGTAGTCAGGAGACACCACAGGGGCAACAGCACAGGCCCAGAGTACCTGCTGCCTCTGCTGCGTCTGTCCCAGGGTCATGAGGATGCTGAGGTTGACGACAGGTTCCAGATCCTTTCGCTCCTTTGGCCAAGGGTTGGGGGGAGGTGGCCCAAGTGGCATGCTCTCTAGGTAAGACAATAGGAGTGGTCAGAGTTCCCTCGAAGGATCCTGCACACCAGAGCACCTGAGAAGGCCAGGACCAGAGGCCCTGTGTGATGTGTACTCCGCAGCCATTTGGGGTGGGACAGTTCTGTACTTCCCGGTTTGCTTATGGCTCAGCCATTACCTGTGTCAGTCTGTGATTCTGTTGTAACAGTTTTAAGAGTAAATAAAGCTGCCTGATGTCCCATCACACAGGCTCCATGCTTCTGTGTCTCGGTTTGCATCTACCTCCCTGATCCTCCTGCCCTCAGCTCACCCCCTTGCATCAAGAGAATGAAATGCAGTGTGCACATGATCTCCATGACCTCAGCATTCAGCCCCTCGGCTATGAACTTGTGGATGTGAATACAGGAAGGACCACTGTGCCGCACAGCCCTGGGCCTCGGCTGCCTGCAGAACTCTCCCCCAGTCTGCCTGGTAAAGGGCTACTCGACACTTACTGTCCAAAACTACAAGCACAGTGACAGTTCTAACAGGCTTCCTGTGGTGGGTACCCAGAGAAGCAGCTGTGCCAGGGGACTGGGCTGGTTAACAGCACGGCTGCTTCCTGCTCTTGGCGAAGGAAGGAGGTTCTAACCCCCTTCTTTCTCTCTCAAGACTTGGGGCCACAGGCAGCCCCTGTCCCCCAGCAATAAGCATCTCTCTTCTCTACCTTCCTTCCTCTTTGGGGAACCGTGGCCCAGTGTATGGAGGCCCTGAGAGAGGAGCCCCTAGTGGACAGCAGTGGTCACAAGGGATAAATAGAACTTTATTTTAAATAAACATTTGCACTCTGTACACAGCCCCAGCAGAAGCAGGGCTCAGTCGTCAGCTGTCTTGCGCACATCAAAGCTGCCACACGGTCCTCGCAGCAGCTCTGCCAGTAGCGCAAGCAGCTGCCCGTGCTCCTCCTGCACGCTGGGGGGAAGTGCAGCCAGCTCGCTGCGCAGACTCCGCTCCACCATGCGGCCCAGGGCCCGCCGCAGCTCCCTCAGCAGCTGCACCGTACGCGAGTCACCCTCCAGCCGCAGCAGGTCACTGTCGCTCAGTGAGATGGTGGCCCGGCGCCCGTCATCTGAGGGAACGGAAAAGATGGTGGTAAGCTGTGGTGAGGCCAGGCCCCAGAGGAGCAGCTGCAGAGCGGGGTGGGCAGGAGGCCTGCAGGCACCCACCGCGGATGTGCACGTCCCCGTCGGTCAGGAGCAGCACAGCTAGCGGGTGCACCTGAGAGGAGTCCCGGACGAAGACGCTGCCATTGGACTTGACCGCCATGAAATACGTCAGCCATCGGCTCCGCAACCGTGTGGCCTCCCTAGGGAACACAGGGCTGGTGAAGCCACCCTTTTGGACCATCCCAGCTGCCCCATCCAGGCCTGCATGCCCTCACCTGTTAATGGTCGACTTGTGCAGCAGGATGTTGCCTGATTTGGTCCTATATGTGACGCTGTTGGGCTTGAACTTCCCCTGCCGGGTGACCTTGCCCTGCCTCACCTGCAGGGATGGAGGAAAAGATGGGTGGGGCTGAGCAAGGAGCTGCAGACAGGGAAGGAGGCTGGGACCTGGTGAACTCCACTCCCTCCCAGAGGCAGCACCTGGATGAGGTTGGGGTAGAGGCCGGCCATCAGCACGCCCTTCACCAGCTCCTCCTCCTCACTGTACTCGTTGCACTGGGCAGAGGCCAGGGTGCAGTCCGAGGGCTTCCCCACCAGGAAGGCCTCATAAATGTTCTCCGAGAACTGCTTGATGAGTCCTAGGGAGACAGAATGTGCAGTGAACCTACAGCCCCTAGCCACAGGCTGGGGGTAACAGAAGCTCAGTGGGGGTGGGAGGGGCGGGAGGGGCTCAGGAAAGCAGGCGTGGGCCCAGCTGACCGTGGATAAAGCGCAGGCTAGGTGCATAGAGCAGGTTTTCCTCCAGGTAATTCTCCCTGGAGCTGCGGTCCTGCCAACGCAGCACCTCCTCCCAGCCGGCGACAGCCCGCACAAAGGCCAGGTGGTCACTGCCACTGTCGTGGCTCAACAGTGCTTTCACCTGGGAGGGGAGAAGAGGGCAGCCAGGTCACAGGCAGGGGCTAGACAACGCCCCCTCAGAACAGCAGTGGGTGGAGGGCTCCAGGAAGGAGTCAGGACTGACCTTGTCCACCTCGGCCCGGTTCTGTAGGCTGCTGCTGAAGGGGTCCCGGGTAAGGCAGGAAACGACCACCAGTAGCGGGTGCAGGCAACGGAAGATGGCGGCCAACACTATGGCCTTGGCCAGCCGGGGGTCGGTGGAGATGTGAGCCAGGCGCTGCCCTAGGGTGGTCAGGTACTCCCGCTGGTCCAGCACCCCTGCAATGGCTCAGCTGTCAGTGCCACCCTCAGGAGCTACACCCCGGCCCAGCCCAGCCCAGCCCCTACATACCGATCTCCTGGAGCAAAATCACAGCCTCGTCCACTGCCTTGATGTTTGGACTGTCCACAGCCTTGGACAGGAACTCCACCGCCTAAGACGAACAGAGCCAGAGCCCGCCATGAGCCTGCCTCCCACCTGTCCGGTCCCCAGGCCAGCCCCCACCCCGCCCCACCCCACCGCACCGTCTTCTCAGGCATGTGGATTTTCGCTTGCAGCACCAGGTTCTCGAGAGGCGTGCGCAGGATCTCTGGCACTTGGAAAGGGACCATTTTCTCCAGCCGGCTTCGAGGGAACAAGTGGTAGGCAAAGCCTGACTGGCAGCGGCCCGCTCGGCCCCGGCGCTGGATCACATTGGCTCTTGACACCCACACTGTCTCCAGACAGGACACCTGGAGGAGGGGGCAGGTAAGCAGCACACAGATACCACTTCCTCAGTGCTTCTCCACTCCGAGTAACCCTCACCAGCCCCCAACATCAGGAACACTGAGACCCCACAAGCGTGGCCTTCTCAAGACACACAAAATAGGTCTAAGGTAGATCTGGGCTGCAGACCACCTCGAAACGGAGTCCCTCCCCCAGTGGTTGGCCAGGCCCAGGACGTAGGTGCCACCTTGGTCTTCAGGTCATAGCGTTCTTCCTTGTGCAGCCCACTGTCCACCACATGCACGATGTCATTGATTGTGATGGAAGTCTCTGCAATATTGGTGGCCAAGACAATCTTGCGCACCCCAACTGGAGGCTGCTGGAATATGGCCTTCTGATCCATCATGGGGATGTTGGAGTGCACTGGTGGGCAAGACACACACTGGTTATGGGCACTGCTTCCACCAGAATTCCCCCCTGGAATGTGGGCAGGGCAAGGATTTTGACCCCATTTTGATGAAACAGGTGCAGATAAACACTATGCCCAGTGAAAAGTGCTGCGGCTTGGTCAGAAACCGGGACCCCCGGAGTCCCAGTTGGGTCAGTCCCCAGGACAGAGGCCAGGCTGGTTTCCAAAGGTCCCTGATCCCTCTGCCCGGGCTCTCACCTGGCAGGATGAGGTACTTGCTCTCGTGCATGCCCAGGGCCTCCTGGAGGCGCTGCTGCACTCCTTTGATCTCCTGCCACCCAGGCAGGAAGCACAGGATCCCACCTGCAAAGGAGCCCTGGGGCATGAGCCAGCTGCTTCTGCAAGCATGGCCAGGACTGGCATGGGGCAGATGGGGAGGCACCCACCTGGTTCCCCACGAGCATCGATGTGCAGAACCAGATCAGTCACAAGGTCCAAATCGAGTGCGCATTCATCCTCAGACTGGGGTGGGGGAAGAGAGGCCACAGTCACAGCCCCGGGGTAAGGGGTCATGCCAAGGACACAGCCACCTGACTCAGTGAGACGGAGCCGCTTGACATCAACTCCAATCCTCACATGCGTGCCACGCACGTGGGGTTAGTCCTCAGTTTCTATCAAGGAAACTGAGGACTGGGGAGGGTAACTTGCCCCAGGCCACCAAGCCCCAGGGCCAGGGAGGAGGGGCATCCATGGAGGAAAGGCCAGGAGCCTCGGGTGGGATGGGGGTGTCCCTCACCTCATGGTGCCGGTGCCGGTGCAGGTATTGGTGCTTGCCCAACTTGGCCAGGATGTCCTCCAGGTAGTGCTCCTTGACCGGGTACATGAAGCCAGGCACCTTGATGACAGGGCAGCCACCAAAGTATCGGGAGAAGCGCTCATTGTCCCCTGTGGCACTCATGAGCACCAGCCGCAGGGCCGGGTTGAGCCGCTGCAGGCCCTTAAGCAGGATCAGCAGAAAGTCTGTGTTCACGTCCCGCTCATGCACCTCATCTACGATGACGTGGCTCACACCCTCCAGGCTGGGGTTGCTCTGCAGCTTACGCAGCAGGATACCCACAGTGCAGAAGAGCAGGGCCCCGCCTCGGGCTGGGGGCTTACTTTCCAGCCGCACCTGGAAGCCCACGTTCCGGCGCAGGGAGGGGCCCAGTTCGTGGCTGACCCGCTGTGCCACAGACACAGCAGAGATACGGCGAGGTTGGGTGATGATCACATTGCAGCGGGCACCGCGGCCCTCGGTCACATAGCGCTCCAGCAACAGCTGGGGGATGCGTGTGGTCTTCCCACAGCCTGTGTCCCCAGAGATGACCACCACCGGGTGCTGCTCAATGGCGTTGAGGATGGTATCCCGATGTGGATCCACAGGTAGCTGGGGGGCCTCCTGCCAGACTGGCCCTCGCCGCCGCCACAGTTCTAGCAGACTCTGGCTGAGACGTACCTCCTCTGCTTCCAACAGGGGCACATAGGGCTTGCCTGTGATAGGGTCACTGAGAGGCCCTGAGTCCTTGCCCAAGGGCAAGATGTCTTCACTCTGCAGCCGGAGTTCTGGGGCGATCCATGAACTCTCCACAGGGTACTGGGGGGCAGGGAGGTCAAGCAAAACAATGAAAAAGAAATTCCTCATTACCACCCAACCAGCCACTCTGCAGGATCCGCCTGGGTCAGATGTTGTGGCCCAACCCACTGGGCACAGGATTAATTTAGTCCGTGACTGCCCCGGGATCCTTGTGGGCAAGACTGGGCTGCTGAGGCCAGGGGGCTCCCAGGCCCCAATCTCAGTGAAGAGAATGGGGAGGTACTACTGCCTGTCGCAGGTGGAGGCCTTCAGTCTGAAGAGATGGAGGCAGACTACAGGGGACAAGGGTGATGAGGGATGCAGGGCCTCTTACATGGTTCAGGAAGGTCTCTATCTTGCGGAGGATGGGCTCGGGCACCTGGATGGTACATGGTCGGCGCTGGGTCTCACCCAGCTCACGCAAAGAGGCCAGGTT